TTCTTAAAAGATTTTTTTTTGGTAGGAAATGCCACTGGGATTTACATAGTCTCAATCTCTCTCTTTGTTTTTGTTCAAGAGGAAGAAATTCTAGACTAGAAGATCATCTTATCCTGGTTTTGGAGAAGTCCCAGTTTAATAATACCATTAGCTAAAAACTATTTATAATTCAGACATTAGCAACTGGCATAAAACCCTACTTTCCACTTCTCTTGATTTTGCACTGACAATCTGGCAGCCCACTCTATCCTGAGGCCCAAAAGAGACATCACATTCTTAAGTCTGCATTTAAGAAAGTCTGATAGAGATGTATGCAAGAGGAAAGGTAATAAATGCCCACAGAGGATCTTCTGGCCTAGACGATGTGCAGGAAAAGACGTACAAGTGGGCTCCAGGCCTCCGTCTCACTTGTAAATAGGAAAATTTAAACTACTCTAAGTTACAATTTTTCGCCAACTAGACTGGCACAAGTAAAAAGAGCTGACACTCTTTTTGTTGGTGAAGCTATAGGGAACCATGCCATCCAATACATTATTGGGACAAGGACAAAATGACCCACTCCTTCCGGAGAGGGATAGGAGCTCTGTGACTCAGCAGTCCCACTTCTGGGAATCAATCCTTAGGCATACCTGCACAAAAGCAAAATGACTATTACACCTTTATTCATCACAGCACTGTTTATAATAGCCAAAGCCTGGAAATGGCCCAGAGGTCCAGCAGCAGGGCATTGGTTGGATTAACATCCACACAACATCCACGTGACAGAAAACTACTATACCGTTAAAAAGACAGAGGTATACTGACAGAGCGCTGCAGGAGACAATGCACACTTAGAAGAGCAAATCATAGGCCAGAAGGTAGCATGGAGGTTAAGGCACTGAATCTTATATGACCAACTGTGCAGTTCAAGTCATGGACCTCATCACTGGACAATCATGCTAGGCGTGTGCACATATGTACCCAAGATCATGAGAGGAGAAGGGATTGTGGTGTGGCCATCTTCCCTGGGGGTAATTTCTCTCTCTCCCTCTCTCTCTCTCTCTCTCTCTCTCTCTCTCTCTCTGGCAAGCCTCTTTAGTGAGGGCATGAGCCCTATAGCAAAAAAAAAAAAAGTAAGTCACAAAAGAGTATATGAAATACTCCATCTTTTATGAAAGAAGGAGAAAGGATAAAAAAATACTTTAATCTGTATTTATAAGTCACTACTAATAAAGAATATGGGAAAGGTTTGGACGAAGGTAGAATCAGAATGGTATTTTTTAGCATTTACCTTTTTATATGGTTGTAAGGTTTTGAGGGAACCATATAAATATATTACCTAGCTTTTAAAAATGAAGAGGTTGGGGAAGTTATTTTTCCAGGAGTGTAAAGAAGAGAACCAGGCCAGCTTAAACAAAACAAAGCTAAAGAAGAGTTCAGCTCAGGAGAAGAGGCAGCTAAGTTCTCACGTGGAAGTCAGTGAAGTCAGAGAGTGCTCGGTCCAGAGTTCAGGAGCGAGCATAGTGAGTGTGGAGAGGGTGACTTCTGCTGTTCTCTATCACCAGCTGGGTGCGGGTGGCCTGAGCCCCCTGACATTTATTATAGCCATAAGGAAGTCAGAGAACTATAGGTGAATGGGAGGCAGAGGCAGAAATACTGGGGTTACCTCCCAGATGGGATGCCAGGAGCATTTCTTTGCTCTCTGGATTTAGACAGTAATGGCTGCAGCATGGCGCTCATCAAATATTTATGTTAAAAAAGAGGGCAAAGCATGTGCTGGAATAGTCTGCTTAAGTCAACAGAGAAATATTCCTAAAAAGTTGAGATTTCTGGAATTTTGTAAAATCAAATTACACTATAAATACAACAGGTGAGCTTGTTTAAAGAAACTCACCCAATGGCCCAGCTGCAGTGTCTTGCACAGTAAGACACCACTACTCTATAGGCTGAGGCCACTTCAAGGTTCTGGTTTGATTCCTGACCCACTCGTACAGCCAGGCATGGTGGCATATGCCTGTAGTCCCAGCTACTAGGGAGACAGGCGGGAGGATTGTGACAGAGCTAGACCCTGGCAAGAATGGAAAAAAAAAGAAGGGAGGTGGGAAGGAGGGATAGAGGGAGGGAGGCAGGTTGACTGGCCTGCTGGCCTTATGGTCTAGTGGTTAAGAGAGCTAGATCCCATATGGCCAACTACAGTTTAAATCCTGGCCCCAACAGCTTGAAAGACATGCTACGTGCATGTGTGCCAAATCCTGCCAGGATGGAGAAATGGAGAAGGGATTGGGGAGTGACCATACCCACTGGGGAGTGATTTTCCCTTCTCTCTCTGGCACATGCTCCCTCTGGCAAGAAAGAAATGAAAGTGGGGATCAGAGAGAGAGAAAGAAAGAGAGAGGGGTGGGGGGAAGGAAAGGAAAAAGAAGAGGAAAGAAAAAAAAACAAAAAACAAAAAAACCTCTGTAGGGGAATCCTTATTAGGAACTATCTGTTATTTTGGCTTTGGGAATCTCAGTTTGACTGAAGAAGGCCGTACTTAACCAGATTAATGAGATCGGTGTTCATGTTTTCGTACCTTGGCTTTTTCCACAAGGTACAGTCTCGCCAAAAAAACAGCAGAAGGCCAAGGTCCCAAGTACAAACTAGCACCTTCATCCTTAGAACCAATGCCTTGGCAGTTAGAGCCCCCACATATGGTTGATCTCACCTGCTATGCAATGCCTCCCAGGAGAGAAGCCAGGAAGAGGAAGTTAATTCTGACAGTGGGTTTTCTACAGCATTGGCTTAAAAAGGAAAAGCATGTAAGAAGTGCCAGTTGGCACTGAGGGGGACATAGATAAACTCTTCAGTTTTGGTAGTTGTGGTATCCCCATTTCTTACCTTAAAACTAGAAAAGTCTTTTCCTAGAATATTAGCCACTCACAGGTTAAGTTCCAAAGGTTCCTGCAGCCACTGCTGCTTGCATCCTATCCCCAAAAGGAGGGCCCAAGGTCACTAAATAACATTAAGTACCTTTCTATACTTTCAGGATTTTCTACTCCATTCCCTGCATCAGGCAGAATGCAACGTAAGGGGTACAAGGTACACTGGCATGCATTATTAAGCATGACATTAAGCACGTTGTTGGTGTTCAACTAACAGTAAACAGTGCTAACACCCCAAGTGCTAGCCTTTTCCTGTTCCTTAGAAAATGGCAAACTGGGGTCCAGCAGGTGACGTGGTGGTTAAGGTGTTGAACTCCCACATGATGACCATGGTTTGAGTCCTGAACCTAGTTTGCTTTCTCACTTTTCCTTTCTTTCTCTCTTTCTATGTCTCTCTCTAGTGAGCAGATGTACCCTACAGCAAATTTAAAAATAATATTTTTTTTTTTTTAAAGAAAATGATAAACTAATGAGAAACACACCTATACAGGGGTCATGTCCCACTGTAGTGTATTTCCTAGTGACTATGATCTACTTTACTTTCTTGATTTAGGACAAAAAAATAAAATAAAATAACCAACAACACAGGTTCATGTACCTGGTTGGCACACACGACAGAAAACATGCTTTTATTCCTTCATTCCACTGGTACTTATTACCTGCTTCTATGTGCCAGACTTTGCCAGCTCATGACAGTTAGAGGAACTACTGTGGCTGCAGGGGCTTTAAGACAGAGTTGCTGCTAGCCACACTGTGCTTTCATGTGAGTTAAACAAAGCAACTTCTTCAAGTGGACCTAGCTTTGCAGACTTGATAGCATCAGAAAGAAGTATCTTTGTCCTGGCAGAGGAAGTACTATCCCAGAATGCATCTTGTTTTGAGTAGATTTGAATCCCTCAATTGCTTCCTGGTCAGGCACTTTTATGTAGTGAACAACCTATACAACAGTTTAAGGTAGTCCTGTCAAGAGATCCCAACCTTCCATGACAATCTGTCAGAAGAGCCAGTATGACCTTACATACCCATGTGAAGCCCCGTGGTCTGATGCACAGCACAGTCTAGTGATTCCAAAGGCTTCATTCATCTCAGTATAGCTCAGACATCTAGTCTTTGGTCTCAACATCTTTCTACCCTGCCTGAGAGTCTGGATGAATACACCTGGTATGATGGTTTTATCTCAAAAGGTCTTCAGTAAGCCTCAATAAAGCCCAAGGAGCTTTAGGATTTTGATTCCTCTTCCTACCCTTAGATTTAGCTCATGCTGGGATTTAATGGGTTTCAGTTTGAGTCTTCATTTTGGAAGAGGCCTCATCTTTCTCTTCTGCCATATTTCCCAAAAAGAAAAAAGAAAAACAATTGAGGTCACCGCAAGTTCGGCATTAAGTCCAAGGGTCCCAGCGGGGACTAAGGGTATAGCATCCAGTGGTCAAGGACATTGAAGGAAAGCATTAGCAGTTAAATAAAAGCCTGGTTATTCTACATTAGCAAAGTTAAGGTTTTGCTCCCAATGAGCTCACGTGGTTTTGTACACAGCCAGGGTGAGTGCGGAATGACAGCTGATTCAGACCCAACCAAATGAGCAGCTATGATCACACCAACTCAAGTGCAACTGGAGCTTGTACCTCACCCCTTGGTGAACCAAAGTGGAACTTATGTCAATTATGTGACCTTACCTGCAAGGGGAATGGTAGCCTATCCCACAGGAATACACACAGAATAAAAGGCTTTCTGATCTCTTGGCTCCAAACTCTCCCCCTTAAAATCAATGAATATAAAAATGACAGAAGATTCATAGCAACTGATTCATTCACGCAGATCAGAAAAAGAAGTTCTTCTTTTAGCTACTAATCCTCCAGCAGAGCTGAAAGCATCAAAAATCTTAACCGTCTGCAACACTGTAGTTTTTATTATACAGTAATCCTTTGAAATGCAGACCCATTAAAAGAAGACAAAAACCCTCCTTGTCACAGGATGGCAACCAGACATTCACCACTAAGCACTTTTATGATACCTAATAAAGCCTGACATGACAAACCAAACATTTAAGGGACACTAGAAATAATTTTCAAGAGAGACTCAGCAATAAATGCAATCATCCACCTAGAAGTTCCTCCAGTTAAATCTCCTCCGTTCTTTGCCCTGGATCCAAGCTTCCTGTTCACAACTCTCTTGTCACGCCTACGAGAGGGAAAGGGAGAAATCAGGACCTGTAGGTATGAGCTGGTTCTAGAACAGGACTTAGCGGGCTAGTCCCTTCATCTGTACTATGAAGGGCACCTCTTGGAGCCCAGGGATGGGAGGGGCAGGCCTCAAGGTCACTGAGGGATGAAGCCTTGTGTCTTTTTCATGCCTCCTGGGTCTTGGGGGCTACTGTGGAGGCTTCTACTGCTATGGTTTAAAGAGGAGTGAGCCTGAGGGAGAGGCATCCTCTCATTCTTAAAGGGAGCCCTTTCCTTGTGTTTCTCTTCACTTGATAGCTTTCAAATGAAACTGCATCCATAAAGCCCTCTTCACTCTCCCCTCTAGCTAGATATACTTCCATAGGGGCTTTCGGCAGAGCACGTAAGGTGTGTGATGAGAAGTAAGGTGTGTGATGAGAAGTAAGAATGACTCTAGGTCAAATTCTGTTCCTGCACCTTAAACAAGGTGCAGAACCCTGGGGACCTCAGTTTCTTCATCTGGGATGGTATGAGGACTGAGGAAGATGACATATGGAAAGGGCCCAGGAGGGCCGGCCACTTAGCTCATGTCCCACTGGAGTTTGGATCCCAACCCCAGTGGCATAAAAGACACACCTAGAGCATGTGCTTGTATGCCCAAATCCTCACAGGTTGGTGAAATGGCAGGCAAAGTTGACCCACATCCCACTCTGAGGGTTCTTGTTCTCTCTCTCTCTCTCTTGAACAAATATGCCGTCTGGGAAAAAAAGAAAAAAAAATAAGGCCCAGGATATAGAACAGCTCAATAAATGGAGCCACACAATTGTGCTGTAATTATTTTTAATCTATCAAACTGCCATTAAACTTGGCGCACCACTGTCTAAATCATTACTGTCTTCCAGGTGTCTCGTACATGGAGGGTGCTGAATAAATATAGCTCATCAATGCCAGCCTGGATCTGGGAGGTGACAACTTCCATGAAGTCTAGGTTGGTGGTCTTGGTCTATACACAGATCTTCATCACCCACTGGTAGACTTTTCAAACAAGAGAAACCTACAAACTCCTCCAAAGGCCTCCTTTTACAGCTAAACAATTCTCACTGAAAATGTTTTGACATTTAGCTTAAAGACCTTCAACTGCCATGAAAGTTGGTAGTTTTTTTTTTTTTTCCAAACAACAACAAACCCTGCTATTTGTAGCTAATAAACTAGAACTGGTGTTGCATAAGTGTTACACAAATCAATTTTTATATATTATTTATTTATATTTTATATATATATACACACACACACACACACCTCCACCCATAAGATCACTAGGGGAAATAGGGGCTGAAGCAGAGGGAAGGAGCACTGTAATTCCATCACTCATCGTCCCTCATGCATTCCTGATCTTTTTAACAAAGTTTCTAATAAGTACGGAAAATAGAATCGAGACCTAAGAGAATAAATTGATATTGCAATCCATTTCACATTTAAAAGATCCAATGAGGACTGCCTTATTCTCTTACTTTGGAAGTACCATTTGGTAGGGCTTTGTAAATTCGAGATTCTTGGGGAAATGCTGAAATTTCTTCTAGCTGTTACAAAACGACGCATGATCATTATACAACACTGAGAAAATGCCAATAACCTAACGTTAATACTTACTGAGTACAGACTATGTACCAGATGCTATATTTATCTGTACCCTACACAGATAAATTCATTTATTTATTCCTCACATCTCATCAAAGCACTAATTAAGTAATTTGCCCAGTCTACACACCTAGAATAGGAGCCAGGAACCCTTCGTTATGCTATGATGTTCTAGGAGGGAAAAGAATCAATACTGTATTTAATCAAGTCCCCACGGCTTCTGTGTACAATGACATAGGCAAGAAACCATTCATAATACTGTATCCTTTACACTGAACAGTTATTTAAAATTAATTATTATAAACCACTATCGCTGTGTCCCTGTGGAACAATTAGTAAAACCTACACAATCACCTTTGGTATGAGTGAAGCTTCTGGACACCAAGTCTGTGCACCTGATGTGCATTAAGAAAAACAAAACAAAACAAAACAAAAGCTTAAAAGGGCTTGCTTTAAAGATAGAAGCATTTTTCAAATTTCGCAAATTTTAGCAAATGACTCAATGATGTGATGAGTAGGTTTCCTGAACACCCATTCTCACAAAATTTAAAAATAAAACACATAGCACTCAGTCCCAACACTTCTTATGACTTATTTGTTGGCCATGGACATTAGTAAATGCAAAAGTAACTAGATATCCTCAGGCCACGTTTTTTCATACTTTAATTCAAAATCATACTTGATGAAAGACAAATACTGTTTCTGTTCCTGGTTTAATTTCCTACTCGGGGCTAATAAACACAACTACTTGAAACATACATTCTCTTTAAGTTTAAAAGACAATTAATGAAATGTTTCCGACTGCCTGGCTATAAAAACACTACGCAACTGTAACTTTAGCACTAAAGGCCTATTAAAACTATTACTCCTTTAATCATGCTTATGCATACTGCTGTCATAGAAACATCACACACCCACATACGCACACAGATACAAACACCACACAATCAGGTACCTGTTTGGAATTTTTAATTGCCCTGTCTAGCATTTCCAAAAGGCTCAAGCTGCTATTTTGTAAGTTATCCAATAGCCTGTTGCTTGGTCAAGCCAGATAAGTAAAATATCAAATAATTTTCAGTCTAATAAAGTTCAGTCTGTTTTGTAAAGATTGTTTCATACACCTACATAAAAATCCTAGAAACAGAGATCACTATTAACTATTTCACAAATCAGCCTGGAAAAGGTTAAATAACTAAGAATCTCATCTAGGACTGTCTGATACCAAAGCCCTCGCTCCAAACCACTGTTAAAACTGTTTCTCTTCCAAATTAGGGCTCAGAACAATTTATTTGACTTTCACAATCCACCTTGCTAGATTAAGCTTAAGCTGACATAAAACTAAGAGAAAAGAAAAATCACCAAATAAAAATCCAACACAGTAAATGACATAATTCTACATCTGAATATTTTCCTGCTAAAGAGAGATATTCAAGATAAAAATAAAACTAACTTGGTGTTAACTAACCATTTCCTCCAGTTTTTTACTAAGTCCTTTGCTCTCACAGCTTGTCAAACCACCATGTTTTCTAACAAGTGACAACACAAACCCCTTACCACAAATCTACTTGTTAGAGACCTACTCTTTCAAGTAAGATTGAGGCTTTCTACTCAGGAACAATTTTATAATGCCAATTCTCTTCAGTCTCTTGTGAAAAATGGTTTCACATTTCTACACGTCTACACCGATCTAAGTACTATACACCCTGTCTGGAGTTGATACCTAGTAAATCATTGTTAAATACAGCAAAACTGCGACCACATTATTTATAAAGTCTGAAGATGCAGTAGTTCAGCTGTTCAGCCCTTTTCTGGGCTCAAACCAGCACTTTATGGTGCTGGTTAACAGTTAAGGAAGGCAAAGGCGAAGCGACCCAACGTTGATCTGAAAAGTCCTCTTATCACTCCAGTCTCTGTAAAATGTTTGCTTAATTAAAAAATTTCATGCATATGTGTAAAACACATGTTTATTGGAAAAGAGGTTTGCTAATACATATAATTTCATTAAAAAGCAAACACAAAAACTAGCTTCTTTCTTGAAAGGGATTGTTTGGGCAGTAGTAAAATGCAAGCCGGCCTGTCAGTCCAGCTGCCTGCCTTCCTGGTTCTCCTGGGTGAGGGCCTGGTGCTGTGACAATTTCCATGGAGGGCTGAGAAGCCCCAGCAATGGTGCGTTCCAGAAACAGCACAGCCCAACTCCCCGTCTAAAATGGGAACACACAAACACAGATCCTGCCTCTGACAACAACAGAAAGATTCATTATAGACAACCTATTCAGGCAAAGCTACAATCGCCCCAGGAAATATAAACAGTGTCCGCAAAGGCAGCAGGGGGGAGAGGAAATAACTGATGGGAAGGGAGCTAATCATGTGAAGCTGCTCCAACTCCACAAGGTCTAATAAATCCCGGTTTGTTTCCACTCGCAGCAGCCATTAAACGTGCCCTGACACGTGGGCACAGGGGCCCTCCCTCCTAACCCGGGTGTCTGGCTTTTTCCTCCTCTATCTGCTTGTTTGTATACAACCACGCCTGGACAAGATGACCGCAAGATGACAGGCCTTGTCAGTTCCTTTATTCAGAGTTCAGTTGTCCGAAGTTTCACTACACCGCAGCGAGTGTACGAGAAGCACGGCTTCCTGGTCGAAAGTTATGAATGGTTTAAGTCAGGTTTACAAGACGCAGGAGGCGGGGGAAACTGAGCGTCTGGAGATGCTTCTGACAACGTTTACAAATCAGCTTTAATTGATATGCCCTAATTAAAATTTCAAAATAAAAGTAGTCACCCTGATCCAGGAAGTTGTGTTCATACTTAATACTTTTTTTTTTTTAATCACGCAAGTCGATGCCTGAGTCTGGGCCTCCCCCTTACCACCTACAAAATGACAGCTTCTGTCACTCGATCTGCTGGGGTCCCTGGTGGGGTGTCATCTGGGATCCCTGCTCTGCCACCCGCTACTTCCCCGCTGGTCCCCTGGCCCCCAGCGGGACCCAAGGTTGTACTCCGCTGGTGAATCCCGAGAAAGAGGAACAAAGTAGGGAAGAGGGGCGTGGCGTCCTCCTCGCCCCCAGATGCTGGCCTCCCCAAAGCCTGGCACCACCGCTAGCCAGGATTAGGAATCAGGGGGGCTCCCAACAAAGCGCGAGGCGCACGACCGTGGCTGGGAAGGAAGCGAGCGAGCGGGGAGACCTGGCCCTCGCCCCCGCCTAGCCCGGGGGGTCCCCAGCTGCCCGCATCCGCTGGGCGTCGCCCCTCGAGGGCGCACGGGATTCCGCCTCTCGGTCAGCGTCCAGTGCCCTCCTTTCTCCACCCCCTTCTCCGGCGCCCAGTGCCCCGGCCAGTCCCCGCCCTCCGGACACTCTTCCCTCCTTCCTTCCTTCCTTCCTCCGTTCCCTCCCTCCATCTCGCTTCCCAGCACCCGGGACTCGGGCGGCCCCCGAACTCGCCGGCCGCCGGCCCGCGCTGCGCCCAGAGCCCACGAGTCCGAACCACCACCCGT